CCAACATCGAACACTGGCGTCATCATTTTAAGCACTTCCTCAACTTCGATACGGATACCACCACCCCCTTTCTCCCATCTACGGTAGAGCTTTCTTCATCTATCACCTATCCAGTGTCATGTGACCCGCCTTCTGAAGTAGAAATCGCCGATGCCATTAAAAGGCTGAGCAACAATAACGCACCTGGGAAGGACGGCATACACACTGAAACCTACATTTGTTGTGCCGAAACCCTGCAACATTGGCTAAATGAGGTGCTTGGACAAGCATGGAGACGAGAGCGTTCCTGATGACTGAGGCTCACGCATCCTAGTGCCTGACCACAAGAAGGGAGACAAGACAACATGTGAGAACTACCGTGGCATAAGTCTCATCGACATTGCTGCGGAGATGTTCGCTGTTGTTCTCCTCAGACGGTCCCAGTCTGTGCGCGACTCCAGGACGCGACCAAGTCAGGCCGGATTTCGTGCTGCGCTTGGATGTGTGGATCGGATATTCAAACTGAGACAGATCCTTGAATTCCGCCGTAGCTACTAACGACCAAGGACCATTTGCCTTGTTGACTTTACCGCTGCGTTCGATTCCGTCCATCGTGACTTCCTGTGGCGGATAATGGCATTTGATCGTGTGCCACCAAAACTAATCGCCATGATAAAGGCATACTACCGCTCCAACACTGCGCGGGTTTTAGTCCACAAAAACCTCTCAGAACCCTTCCCTATTCGGTCAGGCGTTCGGCAAGGCTGTGTTTTGACGCCTATCTTCTTTAACTACACCTTTTACTGGGTTTTTGGGAAGGTCCTACAAGAAGGTGACGGTATTGAGCTTGCACTTGGGTGCTGTTTGACTGATTTTGAATATGCCGATGATATCGCTTTTCTAGCCTTAACCTTTGGCGATGTGCAGTTAATGGTGTCACGGGTGAACAAGGTCGCGAAAACGGTCTGTTTGTCCCTAAATGCTGGGAACACCAAAGTGTTTTCATTCTGCCTCCCTACCGAAGAGAAGGCACCTCTCGTTATTAGTGGCTGTCAAATGGAAGAAGTCGACAGTTTCAAATACCTCGGAGCAAGATTGCTGCCGAATGGAC